TCAAAGGGGCAAAGCTCTTTTGATGGAGAAAGACTGACCTGGTCTTCTTTTGCAGGAGCAATTCTTTCTTGGTCACAATTTTACCAATTGTTCAAAACTGCTCCTTCCTCACGCACACCGCTGTCTTCCCTGCCCTGTGCAAGCTCCTCTTACCGTGGCTGTTGTTAATTTTTGATAATACCCAGGTGTAAGGGACTTGATGGCAATTTCCCGTTCCATTTCCATTGCAAGGTGACTCTGAACTGGCCTCTATTCCCGTTGTTCCTTGTGTCTTTGGTTTATCACCAATGGCTATTGTCAGAACCAAAAGAAACATATGACTGCTCTGGTGCCTATTAGCATTCCAAAGCTCCTGCTGGCCTCTGAGCTCACTCAGTACCTGTGGCTTCTCAGCTCTGCTCACCCCACCCATTTACCCTAGCCCTCACCAGCTCATGGGCTTCCCTCCCCCGGCTTCTCATACCTGTATAACCCTGCCATTTAGGCCACGCGGCGCTCTCTCTGCCCTCCTGGCCCTCTTGGCCCCCTCTCTCTTGGCCTCCTTTGCCCACACACTCTTTTCCTCCTCTCTCTCCTCTCATGGTCCAGTTTGGCCTACTGGCCATGTTTAGTCCACTACTACTTTCTCTCCCTCATCTCTTCCAGATGCCTCTGATATCTCCAATAAAAACCTTCCCCTCAACCATATGTGGAGCAGCCATGCCCTCACTTTGTATATAGTTACAACTGTCTGAGAACCCCTCTCCCCCGCAAACATCATCTACCTACCTCCTCTTAAAGTTGACCATGAAGTGCTTGGGAGCAGTCTACTGGAGAAGATTTTCTGGGATGGATTCAGGGTTTATGAAAGGCATGTGTACCCATTACTGACACATTGCTCAGAGGTTTTATGAAGTCTCATCCCCAAAATAACCATCAACAGGTTAAAGAGAAAGCCCTGGTGCTGGGAATGTCTCAGTAGGTAGAACGCTTGCAGCGTAAGCATGAGGTCCTGAGTTCAGATCCCCAGCACCTATGTCAAAAGCTACCTCTAGTGGTATGTGCCTGGGACAGCAGAGATAGGAGGGCTCACTGGTCAGCCAGTCTAACTAAATGGATGAGCTCCAGGTTCAGTGAAAACCCTGTCTCAAGGCAGAAGGTGACAGAGGAAAGCAGCTAAGATTGACCTCTGACCTCCACATGCACTGTGAAGGAACACCCACATACAAGTGTACACACACACACACACACACACACACACACACTGTGCATGCGTGTACAGACTAAATATAAGAAAAAATGTCACTTGTGAGCTCCTAGGGTCTTAATGTGTGTATATGAGGTAGGCCTGGGGCAAATGCTGCCTCTGAGTCTTGGTCTATGTGCATATTCTTCTGCTGTTGGGAGCTGTTGTGTATCCACACAATGACCCAGAGCACTGACCACCCTTGCTAGTTTTCAAGTTCATGTTTGTTGTGTCAGACCAACTTCTATTATCAGAGACATCTTTGCAGTGGAATTCAGACACTAATTAATTGGAATTAGCACAGACCTCACAAGTCATGGGCATAGACTTCAGGACAGCTCCATGCATCAGGCAGAAGCTGGGATCTAGGGGGCTTCCACACCACCTACCAAGCTGACTGGCTAGGGCTTCCCCTGCACCCTCAGCTGCAAAATCTCTACACAGAGCTGTGATTTTGATTACAGTTTTTTACAAAGGAGAAAACAACCATGACCAGACCAGTGAGGAGCTGGAGAGTTGGGAAGTATCCAAATCTGCATGTATGGGATGGCTGTAGTGTAAGGCTATGAATATGCTCTGGGTGCAGGCAGACATGCTTGCATTTGACATGTGGGGCATGATCTGGCCGGTTTCATATTCCCTTTCTCACTTTCATATCTTACCTCATGATACCTGCCAGGGAAGCTCTGCAGAGCCACACCCAACAGAAGTTTCCTGATTGGCTGAATGGTTGGTACAGTATTGAATGTCTCCGGCCTCCTTCCATCCCACAGAAGCCAGAGATTGAGCTGACATGCCAACCTCCAATCCCATGGCTCCATCTCTTGTCCTGGACCTACCTAGGGCCCAGCTGAGTGACCTCATAACCAGTCACCCACCTATAGTATCAGAGGCCCACGGGAGAGACTAAGACGGCCCCATCCCGCTGAATATCCAAGGGTTTAGAAGCTCCATCCAGACCAAAAAACTATTAACAGTTTTATCTCGATATTTTTACTCAAGTTTATTCTTGGTTCATGTAAAAACAAATTGTGTCAACTTGACAGGCTGGAGAGTCACCTAGGAGATACACCTCTGGGCAAGTCTGTGAGCAAGTTTCTAGATTAGGTTAATAGAGATGCAAAGATTCACCCTGGGCGTGGGCAGCACCATTCCATGGCCCAGAACCCTAGACTGAATAAGAAGGATAAATCAAGCAAAGCAGAACATTCATCTCTTTCTGCTTCCTGACTGTGGATGCCATGTGAGCAGCACACTCCTACTACCATGCCTTCCCCTCTGTGATGGACAGAAGCCTCAGCTGTGAGCCAAGGTCACCCTTCCCCACTCAAGTGGTCTTTGTCAGACACCTTGTCACAGCGGTGGAGAAAAGTAACAAATAGTTTGTTTCTATTTAGAGAAAAGTAATAAATAGTTTGTTTCTATTTAGGGCCATTCAGCAACTTTGGTCTGGTTTCAGACCAAACAAATAATACCTTGGGGGAAACAAAAAGAAATGGAAGAATGGATATTTCCATCCTGGCCTTGTTTGTTTGAAGAGTGTCTATTGGTGTCTAATGGAGTTTGGTTATCAGATAACTCAAATGGAAACAGTAGCTTTTTCTCTGATTTTAAACTTGATTCACAGTTTAGGGGAACACAAGATAACAGTCGGTGCTCAAGATTCTGCTTTTTAGTGCTAATCTGTAACAGTGTTCATAAGTTTGCCTGTAAGTGGCTGCATGAGTGAGGGAGCTGCAGCCCTTATGCAGCTGAGTGCAAACAACTTCATCAGTTTTTGAGATAGGTGAGTTTCTTTCTGGGCCTCGTGCATGCCAGGAAAGTGTTCTCACACGAGTTATAATCCTCACCCACACGTACATTTTGAAATGAAAAGAGTCAGGGAGAGGGCTGGGAAGAGGACTCCGTTAGTAAAACATTTGCCGTGCAAGCATGAGGACCTGAGTTCGGATCCCCAGTGACCACGTAAATGGCTGAGTATGTTCAGATTGGAGTGGGGGACTGAGAGGAGTAGAGGGAGGGGAAACTGTAAGCAGGATAGATTGTATGAGAAAAGAATCTATTTGAGTATGGCAGTGTACACCTGTAAGCCCAACACTGGGGGAATGGGGACATTTGGGGGCTTGCTGGCCAGCCACTCCTGCCAAATCTGTGAACTCTGGATTCAGGAGAGACCCTGACTCAAAAAAGAAATGTGGAGAGTGATCGAGGAAGACACCAGACTTCCACCTGTGACTCCACATACAAGTGCACACACATGCACATGAACACACATACGAACACACATGTACATGAAAACACATGTACATGAGCACACATGCAATCACGTATAGGGTGGGGCATGGTAGTGCGTGTCTGAGATCCCATCACTTTCAGATCAGATGTTGGAGAATTCTAGCAAGTTTAAGGCCAGTATAGCAAACATAGTAAGTTCCAGACTAGCCAGGGCTATCAAGACTCAGCCAATGAATGAATGAATGAAATAATTAATAAGCCCCAGAAATCTAAGACTGAACTTAACTTGCACAGTCTGGAGAGTTCAGCTAGACATTGTTCTGTCACCAGTAAAGACTTCTTTAAATTAGTGACTCCTTTTTGAAACTTGGGCATGAGAACTGCACCTCCATTTTATGGCCTTGCCCATGTGTTATTTACCATCTCCACTGGCTTCTTGTTGACTTTCTCACCACATTTACTCTTACGTGTTTCCCCAAACCCTCTAGTACCCTCCAGAAGACAAAACGACAGTATAACCTCATGCTGTCAATAAATGAGGCAGTCCATTTGTCCTTGAAGGCATATAGGCATCTCCCCCAAACAAGTGAGCACGGCAACCCGCACACTGGCAGATCCTCAGTGCCATACTGCCCTCTTCATAGCGCTCGCCAGGTTTACATGGCCAGCTTCTAGATGCATAGACAAATCGTCGACCACAGTATGTCTCATAAGTGTTACAATGCAGGGGCCGGGGGTAGGGCTCAGCGGGTAAAGAGCTTGCTGCACAAGGACGTGAGTTCAAGAGCTCAGTCTCCAGTACCTATGTGAAAAACTAGGTGCAACACTGCACACCTAGAATTCCAGCCCCAGGGAGGAAGAAACAGGGGGATACATAGAGTTCACTGGCCAGTGAGGGGTCCCGCCTCAAAATGTAAAGTGTAGAGCAATTAAAGGAGACATCTATTCTGTTTCCTTTCCATGGCTGTGATAATACCTCGACAGAAAGCAGCTTGGGGCAGGAAGGATTTATTTTAGCTCACAATTCCAGGTTGTGGTCTGTTACCATGGAGATGCTGAGGGGGCAGGAAGTTGAAGCAGCTCATTGTATCACATCCACAGTCAGCAGAGACAAAAGAATGTTGTACTTAGTACTCAGCTACCTTTCTCTGCTCATACACAGTCCAGGACCTAAACTCAGGGAATGGTGCTGCCCACAGTGAGCTGGATCTGCTCCCACCAACTGAGACAATCAAGACAGTCCCCTATAGACACACCCATGGGCCAACCTGGTCTAGATAGTCCCTCATGGAGACTTTCTTCTCCCGTGATCATAGGTTATATCAAGTTAACAATTAAAACTATCATAATACATCAAATTATGTTCAAGTTACACCACAAGGGGTGGAGCTGGGCTTCGTTTGCTCCTTTGGAGACCACAGAGAAAACAGCTCATTCTCATTCTGGAACAGCACATACCAGCTCCCTCCAACGTGGGCATCAGATGACCTATCAGTCTGACTTCACTTTCCTCTTGTTGTTTTTCCTTCCTTTCCTCCAGTGAGCTGCCTCACCCTCCTCAAAACCTCATGGCCAGCTTGAGTCCTGCGCGAAGCCACTCAGTGATGCTGTCGTGGGTCCGGCCCTTTGATGGAAACAGCCCAGTCCTTTACTACATTGTGCAACTGTCTGAAAACAGTAAGTAGCAAAACAAACTGTTGGTCCAAAACAGAAACTAGATGTGTATGAGAGAGAGAGAGAGAGAGAGAGAGAGAGAGAGAGAGAGAGAGAGAGAG